TAGCCCTCTGTGGCTATATCTTTATCCATGGGCTCAGACGTCCCCAGGTCTCACCATACTTTGGACCAACCAGCCCTTCCTCTTCTCTCTCTCATCTCCAGGTCATCAGGACGGGGTTGAACTCAGCCCATTTCTTCATTGCTGCCTTTCCCCCTCTTCCGCTCACCAATAGACGAATGTGGTCGCCAGCAAGCTTACATGCCCGCTCATATGTTCTCTTCGAGTTTCAGTCTTAGAGGGGGTTTGTCTTAAAGGAACTTGATTGCTTGCCTTGATGGCTTCCTGGCAAACAGCTTGCTTATTCTTATAATAGCCAGTCCTACTGCCATTTTTGTTTTGGTTTTTTTCTTAAAGATCTTTCTTTAAAGATGTATCCTCTGTTGCTCTAGTTATTCCAGGCTGGTCTGCTTGTTTTTTCTAGTGGGAATATCCCATCTCAGAAGGTGCTAGATGGGACTCAGGATTCCACCTAAGGTCCTATACACTGCAAAGGTTCCACAAGAGGACTGTTTCACTGGGTAAGTTCTAGAACCCCTTATAGGTACTTCAATCAGCTATAGGCTGAAGACAGGCGTAAAAGCTTTCTGTAATCATGTTTCCTGACATTCTTTTCTATCTCACTCAAGTGTCTATTTTACAATAGTAGGCAAGGGAAACCAATATTCATAAGACAGTCAAGCATTTTAGTATTATTCCCCCTCTTCAAACTATGCCTAGATCCCTGTATCAAAGAGCCCTGTTGTTCCAAGGTTGAACATGCATCACTATTTACCTCTTTCCCATTTAGTCCATGCAAACCCATCTCAGTGTTTCCTATCTACCTTGTCCTTCCAGAGCCTCCCCCTTCTTGTATTGCCCTCCCCAACACCGGAACTATGATGTGTCTGCCCTCTACCCTGTGCTCCACCATTGCATCCCTCCACCTCCTCCTAACCCCTCCACCCCAAACCCACCATTGTGATTACCTTATATTCCATGAACTTTTCCCTCCATTTAAGACAATCTATTTTATCCTGTAATATACCTGACCTTCTCACCAGATCTCTGTTCTTATGTGTTTACTTTCTTTCACATTGTAAATGTTTTGATCATAGACTGACCTCCCAGATCCTCTGAATTTTTCCTTATAGTTTTGTTCTGTTCTCGACTCTTCCATTTGTTGACTGAGTTCTGGGTGGTGCTGCCATGTATGCCAATCTCTAGTTTTGTCTGTTCTTGTTGGTTCTCAGTCCACAGAACTCCCTTTAGGATGTTTTTCAGTGCAGCGTTGGCTTTGGCAAAATCCCTTAACTTCTGTTTATCCTGGAATGTTTTAATGATACCGTCATAATTGATTGAAGCTTTGCGGGGTAGAGGATTCTTGGTTGGCAGTTTTTTTTTTCTTTCAGGGTTTTATATATGTCTCCCTATTGCCTTCTTGCCTGCATGATTTCTGCTGAGAGAGCTGAGCTTAGTCTGATTTGCTTGCCTTTTCCCTAGCTGCTTTCAGGATTCTGTCCTTATTTTTGATTTTGGAGAGCTTGGTGATTTTCTTTTAGGGTCTATCCTTCCTGGGGTTCATTGAGCTACTTGAATACTTATCTTTTCGCTTTTCAGGATGTTAGGAATTTTTTCTTCCAGAAGCTCTTTAACTATCTCTTCTGTGGACTTGTGTGATTCTTCCTCTTCTGGAATGCTGATAATTCTTTCCCCTTCATGTTGTCCAACATGAATCTTAGACATTCTTCAGATTTTTTAAATCCTTTTTCTGCTTGGTCTTCTATATTAGTGGTATTGAGAGATTTGTCTTCCAGATAACTGGTTCTGCCTTCCATCTCTTCTATTCTATTCCTTTGCTCTTTCAGTGTATTGTCCATTTCTGATATTCTATTATTAGCCAACTAGACCTCTTTCTGTAGGTTTTGAATTGTTTCCAATGTTGTATCTATCTTATTTGATTGTTCCTGTAGTGCTTTCCTGCTTTCTTCCTTATTTTTCTCAACTCAATTATAAAGTGTTTTGATACATTTTATAATCATTTTTCTGAATTCCTTCTCAGGCACTTCCAAAGCCTGCCATCCTTCCAATATGGAGTGTAGGTCTTCCTCCAGCTCATTCATCTCAGTCACTTTATTTCATTCCTGGACATATGCTGATATGGTCATCGGTTTCTGTTTCTTGGGCATATTCAGTAGTTAGCTGTAGCCTTGATACTTAGATGAGTGTGTGTTTTTTATGCTTTCTGATTGCATCCAGGTAGATATGACTAGAAGATGGGCTTCTCTTTTCACTGTTCTTATTACTTGACTCAGAGTAACTGTCACAGATTTTGGCTGCCAACGTGGTGTATTGTAGCTGGTATTTGTTCTTATCTGAACTGAGGGATTTCATAGGGTGTGATTGTAGCTTGACTATATGACAGCAATTGCTGCCTCTTCTTGGGTAATGTAAGGAAAGAAAGAGCTCCTAGAAGTAAAGAGGGGACCAAAAAACAAAACATCAACAGCAAAAAAAAAAAAAAAAAGAGAGAGAGATTGGGTGCTGTAGTGTATAATAAAAAAAAAAAAAAAAAAAATTATAGCCTAATATGAATATGATTTTAATGTCCTTTTTCAGCTTCTTGCCTTCAAGTCTTCCTTAGAAATTTCAAGATGCCACTGTCAGTTGGTATGACATAACTCAGGATTTAATTTTCATCCTGTTTCCTTTTTAGTCTGCCTGTCCTGCTCCATGACCCCCATTCAGGTCTTTTTCCTAGTTCAAGGGTGGCTATGGTCATTTTGAGCTGCTGTTTGATTTTAAGTGGCAACTGTTCCTTTAAATTTTGAGGAACTCTGTGTGCATGCCTAGTAGAACCCTCCAGGGGTGGGATGTCCACTCACTCACACATCCCCTCTAGTCACCAGAATGGTGGTGCACAGACAGCAAGAGACCAGTAAGAATGTCCACACCTTTTTGTCCGTGGTTCTGTCGGGCATCCGTGGCTGCTCTGATCCTCCCTGCCTCAGTGACCAAGATGGCCACTCTGGGAGCTGCTGAGCCTAGTA